GACTTGCACTTCCTCCGTAGCGAGTCTTGCTCGCTGCTCCTTCCTAAGCTGGCGACCAGTACGTTCTAGCTCCGGACCCAACGATAGTAATGCTCCCGACTGGCTATGGGTCATGCACTACCTGCACACAGCCAAGCAAGCAAACCCGTGAAGGCAAAAGTGGGACAAAGCAAAAGAATCAATGCGGAAAAGAAATGCTAAAGTAACAGAAATCACGTTTCTTCAATAACCTAGCTGTCCCCGGCAACGGCGCTAAAAACTTGACTCGTCTGTACTAAACCAACAAACACAAGCAGTAAAAGGTGTGGTTCAAGTTTGAGAGAGATCACCCAGATATGGTTCCCCCTAAATTGTAGTTAAGCCAAGTTGTAATTCACCAAGTCCATATTCAATGATAATTATACTGTGGAAGGTTCGTATTCAGTCTGAAGTCTTGACTAAAGGTCACTGGACCTTCTCAATCTAAATACCCGACAGGCACTAACCTCCACTAGAGTAAACAAACTGAGACCATAACGTGCAAAACCTCCTCTACTAGAGTAAATTCAGTACATAATAGTGAATTGACTTCTCGACTAAAGTCTTCAATTCACCACCTTCAATTAAGGGTTTCTGCTTTCTTTCTCTAAAACTCGAATCCCTCTTAAAAGAGGCCAACTTCGCTTGAAAAGAAGCAGATCGCGATACCCGGCCCAAATACCCGGTCGGGTACCGGCCGGGTGTTTTCAAAACGCAGCGCTCTGGCAGGGGGAAATACTCGATTGGGGGGTCAGAATACCCGATCGGGTATTTAAGCTTCATGGCCGGGACCCCTTCTGCTTCTTTGGCCTCCAAAACAGCTTTACCCGGTCGCCTCCTTCTCGTTTACCTGGTCGGGTATTTCACTGCCTGACCGGGTATTTTTTCCTTCGTGCTCCTCTAGTTCCAACTTTCCACTTTTTGACCCGAAACTTGCTTCCTCTACTCCATGTCCACGCCAAGTCATGAAATATGACATAAACGAACAACCTAGCGTGAAATCGGGTTAAAACACGAGAATCGGCTCTCAAACGGTTCAAGAATGGTGGTCAAAACATGTGCAAATAATGGTCTATAAGTTGTTCTCTAGATATTGGCTTAGAATCTCAATCCAAGACACTTACATGCACTATCAAGGGTTCTATGCTTGTCTTGGTCCTTTAGTGTATAATTTTCCAACTTTTTTTAAAAGAGTGATACATGTTTATTTTTATATAGTTAGGTGCTACTTAAAATATTCGAACCTAGGACCTCCAAGTTCAAAATTAGTGATATTACCATTAGGTCAAACCCTTGTTCAGATAATTTTCCAACTTATTGAATATGCATTTGCTAAACTTTATTTATTTCTGGTGTTTGTCCTGGAACAAAAATTTTATTACTTATATTAGTAATTGATAAAGTGTGTCTATAATACATACAGATTCATGTGCGTTTAAATGACATATCGCTTGAACAATTAATTAATGATTTTTGAAAAAAAACTTAATAAAATTCAAAAATCCCTACGAATATTGTGGCATTTTGCATGCATTTGTATTCGTTGATGTATTGTAGACATATCTATAGTTAATATCTAAGCATATATAAAGAGTTTATTGTATTTTGTAACTCTAATTTATACCTTTAAACTTGGTCGTTGACTAGAATATGAAAATAATATTTTGTAGCTTGGATAACTCGATGTAAATATAAATTGCTAACTTTACAAACTAAAATATTTTTATTCTGAGACTTTGATATCGAAAATATTTTTTTATTGCCAAAATTTGGCATAGAGTCATATGTTCGCAATCTTATTACCAAATGACTTCTTACAATTGTCTTACCGAACTCATCCTTATTAAAGATTATTCATTTTCAACCCAATACCTCAGTTTATACTCTTGTAACTAAATTTTTTTTTTTTTTTTTTGCTTTAGATATCTCAACTAACACACTGATGTATTTTTGTTGCCTTAATACTTGAATTTAGATTTGTCTACCAAGACATTCAATTATTAAATGAAAATTGCGAACCCTTATTGGATCCATGCCTATGTCAGTGGTTGACGAAACATGATGTTTATCGTACATCATCAACAAATATTTCTTTAACCTACACACATGTCATTTTCAAGGTATCTCTTGTCTCATTCAAGGGTATGAACTCAAAGTTTGACAACAATCATACTTAAGTCATTTTGAAAAATTCGATTTATAATCCTTGATAATAACTTCAAGTTTGAAAAGAAAATTTTTAGCATACGACTAAGGACCTTTGCTATTGTTTACTATTATAGCTCCATGTCCGAAAAGAAATAACTATCATTACTCGGTCAAGTTTATATTCAAACATTTTGCTATATAATACTTTTTTAATCGATAGACATATACATTAGGAAGAAGTAGGGGTGTGCAATGGTTGGTTCGTACCGGATTGCACCTGACGTAACCGATGCTTGGACTGTACCATACCGATAAAATTTAATATGGACTGGTCCTTGTCCCATGAATTATAAATAATGAAGAAAAATGGACCAAATTGATATTTGGACTAGACCAAACCGGACTAAATGCAGTGTTTGGCTGGTCGTTGATCCTAAGATATTTTTTCACAACTGGAGATTTTTTCGGCTCCAAAATTATCGCGTTGTGACAACATATTCGTTTTAAATGACCCAAACTAGGTTAGTTTTTTTTTTTATTACAACGGAGGCCGAAGCCAAGAAGCAGAAAATTACAGGGGAGGACTAGCTAGAAGAGGAGTGAGCAGCCATAACCCGACGCTCGAAGGTGACTCCCATCCTGTCATCTTGCAACAGTGGGACAAGTCCCATCGGAGGATCAACTAACTCATACAACCCGTAGGGATAGACGAGACTGTGCTTCGAGAGCCAGTCCGCGACTCTATTCCCTTCGCGATATGTATGAGTCAATCTAACCAACCAATCTTGCCCAATTTTCCTGCGGATGAGATTCAAAATGGTCGCATAGGGATGGATGGGGTCATGGCGCTCCTGAATCAGCTGAATCGCAAGCTGAGAATCCGAAGCTAAACTCACCACCCGATGCCCAAGTTTCCACGTGAGCTCCAACCCATAGTAAATTGCCCACAGCTCTGCCAAAACGGCAGTAGCCGAGCCAATCCCTGCCACGAATCCGCCCAACCAGTTACCCATCGGACCTCTGATCACCCCACCAGCTCCGGCTGGTCCCGGATTTCCATTCGATGCCCCATCTGTGTTTACCAGGATCCAACCCTCTGCAGGGGGCTCCCAGCCGATATCTGCAGTCACCCTCTCCGTCCCTTGCTTCCTGTGGTTGGCAAAGGGGTCAGGGGCGTGCCATGAATCATTCCAAAGCTTGCTCTTAACCAGAATGGAGTGCAAAAGCGACGGAGCGGTCAGAGCTGCGCTAGGACCCTTGAACGCCATAGTAGTTCTGTTTTTCCAAAGAAGCCAACACGCCATGCTGAAGAAACCAGGCCAATTAATACCTGAACTGGTCATCTCTTTGCTCATCAGATTGCTGCGGAACCAACTCCCGTGAGAGGCGCTGAAGAAGACATGCTGCTTCTGCTGAGGCACCAATCTGGACCAAAAAAACAGTGCGGGGGCACAGTCCCTCAGGATGTGAAGAACCGTCTCGGGCTGCTCCGTGCACCGTAAACACATCGGAGAGTCCGCTGCCTTCCTTTGAGCACGGAGGACATTGGTTGCTATCTTACTCTGAATAGCCAACCAAATAAAACACCTAATCCTCTCCGGCACCGGCAAGCCCCAGATCACCTTCCAGATCCCGTCCCTTGACTGCGGATTAGGAACTGACAGTAGATCATAGGCCGACTTCGTAGAGAATCGTTCGTCTGCTGCTGCCGACCAGAATAAGGAGTCTTCCTCCTGGGTGAGAGTATCAACCGCAGTACTGATAATTTTGTTGCAGATATCCTGGGGAAGCCGCCCGGTGAACAGATCAGTGCGCCAACTCCCATCTTCTTCAACGAAGTCTGCCACTGTCGCATCCTCCAAAGGTTCTGGTATTTCATCTGTCGCCACCTCCTTCAGAGGAACCTGCAAAATCCCAAACTAGGTTAGTTAACTAAGTCAAACTAAAGCACTAAAGGAGATACAACAATGGTAACTCAGGTGTGGTATTTAAAGCCTCCTCCTAGTTATACCGTGAATCTCCTAGACAAACCCTTTAAAGAATTAGAAAGTCTAGTACTACTGCAATGTGTGATTTGATCAAAGCTCTGATTTTACAATTTCTAAAAGAAAATTGTCATTTTCTCCTATTAATGATCCCCTCTTGTTCTCATACCAATTTTTTTGTTTTTTTTTTTTTGAATGGGTTCTCATACCAATGTTGCTGGCAAAGGAAGGCAAGAGAGGATTATTTGCTTTCTTTTATTTTGGGCTACTTTTAATTGTTGATGTGGCTTATATGAATTTTTTTCTAACTGACATGACAAAATAAACTTATGTAAAATGACACATCATTAGTCAATATGTTGGCCATTAACTACTAACGTACAAACTTAATAGAATAGAAGCTCAAGGATACAACTTTTATATTGAGAATATGATACACAAATGAAATTTTTGCTGAAATTTGAGATTTGTGGTGGTATTAATCCTTAATTTTAAATTAGCTTTCTCAAAGTAACATTTTTAGAAAGTGTAAATTGTAACAAACATACGTTATCCATTTTTACCTAATAGTTGTTTGTAACCAACAATAAAGAAGTCATTGTTTACTCTTCTTTACCTTTGTAAAGTGTTAACCCCCATACAAAAAAATAACTTATTAATCATCAGAAAGAAAGAAAAAACTACTTCTTATGCTAGTGAAAACATTCACATTATCGAGAAGAAACATTTAAAACCCCTCTCTTCCCTCAATCATGCGTTCATTACATCTCTTTAAAAATCTTCATCCCCCCAAAACCTCCCCAAATCATCATTGTTAGCAACTCATTCACTTAATACAAAAAAAAAAAAATGGATTTTTGGCTCATCCTTATTTCCATTCTCTGCATTGGAGCTTCTATCTTTTCCCTTTGGATCAACTCCAAGGGCACCTCTAAAAACCTACCGCCTAGCCCTCCAACTCTACCAATCGTAGGTAACTTCCTATTGCTTTTGAAATCCTCCAACAATTTCTCCTCCCTGAAACCACTCCTCCGCCAGCTTAGCTCCAAGTACGGCCCCATCATCACCTTGTACCTTGGTTCGCGCCCTTCCATTTTCATCACCTCCCGTGAAACCGCCCATCAAGCCCTTGTTCGCTCCGGATCAACCTTTGCGAGCCGCCCGCCAGCCATGGAGACATCCAGAATCATCTTCACTAACCAAAACACGGTTGCCACTTCACCCTACAACCCAATCTGGCGAGTCCTCCGACATAATTTCATGTCCCTAACCCATCCTTCCCGCCTTCACTTGTATTCTGATTGCCGGAGGTGGGCTGCCAAAGTTTTGATAGAGAAGATCGCTGCCAGTACTACCATTGGATCAGGAGATGGAAAGAAAGCAATTCACATTGTCGATCATTTTCAGCATGCTTTCTTCTGCTTGCTCACGTACATGTGCTTTGGAGAGAAGCTGGACGAGAAATTGTTGGTGGATATTGAGAGGACACAGAGGGCTACGATTGGAAATTTTATCCGGTTCAATGTGCTGAATTTCATGCCAAAGTTGACGAGGATTTTATTCCGAAACCTTTGGATCGAGTTGCTGGAGATCCGCCAGGGGTTGGATGTCACTCTGCTTCCATTGATCAAATCTCGACAGGAGCGAAGCAAAGAAAGAGGTAGTGGAGTTGTTGTTTTGGACCCTCCAAAATGGTACCTAGATACAATCTTGGAGCTCCAAGTACCTGGGGAAGGAAGGAAATTCACTGACTTTGAGTTGGTAAGTCTTTGCTCAGAGTTCCTTAATAGCGGAACCGACACCACGGTGACAACACTGCAATGGGTTATGGCAAATTTAGTGAAGCACCAGAGGATCCAAAAAATGTTACAAAGGGAAATTGACTCAGTGGTCCAGCCTGGAGATGAGATCCAGGAAGAGGACTTGAAAGAGATGCCATACCTAAAAGCAGTCATTTTAGAGACGTTACGACGACACCCTCCGGGGCACTTTATATTGCCGAGGGCAGTGACGGAGGACACAAAGCTGGGAGGATACGACATACCCAAGACTGCGATAATCAACGTGACAGTGGCTGAAATGGGCCGAGACCCTCAAGTGTGGGAGGACCCAATGGAGTTCAAGCCGGAGAGGTTTTTGGGGGATGGTGTTGATGGGAAGACGGAGGAATTTGATTTCAAGGGCGTGAAAGGGATCAAAATGATGCCATTCGGAGCGGGACGGAGGGTTTGTCCTGCGATCACAGTGGCAATTCTGCATTTGGAGTGGTTTGTGGCAAATTTGGTGCGGGAGTTTGAGTGGCGAGCAGAAGAGGGAGTGGAGGTTGATTTGTCAGAGAAGCAAGATTTTACTACTGGTATGAGGAATCCATTGAAAGTGGTGGTCACTCCAAGAATTTCTTGAATTAAAAAAAAAAAAAAAACGAGAGGTGAATTTTAGTTAAAGTAGTTTGTACTATTTTATAATAGCATGATGATATACCGATTAGTGGCACATATATCACAAGCTTTTTGTTATTTTTTTATATTTTTTTAATGTAAACTAGTATTGTGTCTGTCTGTTGGACTTGATGATATTTACTTGTGTTGTTCCTAGTTTATACTGAAGTTGATAATATTATTTTGAATTTGTTATTTCAATTGTAAGTTATCCACTAAAGATATGCACTACACTTTATGTGTACTCACATTTATTTGATAGTAGTTTTCCCTCTTAGGTTAAGACCCATAACACCCAAGCCAAGGCATGTGATAACATGATAAAAGAAAACATATAAAGATAAATAGGGACTACAAGCATGGAAGGGTTTTAGAAGCAAACTTTAGGAAATAAATAGTAGGTTAGTAGACTACTTGGATCGAGATTATTTAGAGTATAAAGATAAGTGGCTTGTGCTTATACTGACAATGTTTTTCATATTGGTTACACAAGCACGAACTGGGTTAAAGTGGCCCACTCCACTCTCAAAGTTTGGATAAGCACTTCCATTGGTGGTCAATACATTATTCCTATCATGGAATGCTAGCATGGAGGCAAAAGTGATCAAAGTTAGGAAAGAGTTTGAGACATCCCAAACGAAGACATTAGAGACCTATGGACCATACTACGATGACTTAAGGGCATGTAATCCTTTATGGAATTGAGTGATGTTGACAAAAGGAAATAAGAATCTATCATATGAATATGTGATTGGGAAGACACATGGGCTCATATTCAGTTTTCGATATCCAGTCCTTTCATGGAGTGGGGAACTAGTTTGAGAAAATACACTTGGCACCATTCTGGTCTACTTTGGACTATGTTAACCTTTCATATGCAAAAAAAAAAAAAGACTGTTTAAAGACATTGATGCCGCTGATCTTTAGATTTTGCTTGATTGAGTGATTGAGGTGTGTAGGTGATGTGCATCTATATTTCAAGTAGCTAAGGCCGCAAAATTGAGTAAGCTTTACCTCAATAAAGAAGGTCATAGAGAGCATAGGGTGTGTATAAAGAGAAATGGTCTGCCACCTAGAAGGAAAACTTGTGTAATCCTTCTTGACATTAACATCCCAACACTCAACAGAACGTCAGCCTAGAAGGAGCAAGGGAAGGACATCAACACCCTCGAATGATAAAAGGTTATTATTGAATAATTTAAATTAGCAAGTCATTGTCAATAGTTAGCATGTTTCAATAACTACCTCATCATAGGCCAAGTTTAACCTAGAGTGGCATTGTCATAAAGTGGCAATTAATGAGTATTCACTCGGGTCCCAGAACCCTAGCCTACTTCCCACGTTGTTGTTATCTAGCCGATCGGTTTAAGGGTTTGTGATGGAGGATGCAAGCGAAATAATTATTGGAGAGAACAAATAAGGATAAAAGCAGGTACTTCGGGGAACTATCCCTCACCCTAGCTTAGGTCTACTATGCAATGTCTAGATAAGTAGGGTTTATCAAATGTGGTGAGTGAGCTCTTTTTCATGGGCTTCGTGGTTATCCACATGCCTCCGAGTACGCCTCCCCTAACCCCATGTCAGTCACTTCAATCTAGGCTATCATATCTGGGGCATTAAGAACATAGCTCATTTCAATGGGAACTGCCCACCATCCACACCGAGGTTTTATCCCGGGTTCTATCTAGGAAGGCATTCCTATGGAAGGGGTATGATCACCTTGTCCACCATAAGATCCTATTCATTCATCTAACCTAATTTACTTGATGGCGCATACCCGTCTAATCCTAAAACTCTATACACAACATAGAAACTCAATTAGGATAGTAGATAAGATTAGGGCGAGTTGTCCGAATACAATAAAAGCTAGAGAAGAAATAAAATTAACTAGATAAATATATTCATTAATTAAAACCCCAAAATATTCATTCATTACATAATAACCCTAGGGTTTGGGGTTTAGAACCCCTAATACCTTAGAGGACTGCTCCATAAAGGAGGGAAGAAGATACATAGAAGAAATAGGGGAAGACTTGATGTTGAGGAAGATGACTCCTCTTTTATAGCTCCTTCTCCTCTTATCCTTCCTTCACCTTCTCTCTCTTCTTTCTCTCTCTAACCAAAAAGTCTATCTCAAAATCAGCTCCCCTAAATAGGGGAAGGCGGTCTTCTATTTATAGCCTTCAAGGACGGAGAAGTTTACGACCAGGCAGTGTGGAGATCGCGTCGCGATCTTCTTCTTTGAGGCTGCGATCTGCCGCTGCCGCCGTTTTGGCCTTCAGGCACGAGGGGTTCACGGGCTGACTTCATGGTCGCAATCTTGGGCTAGGAGGCCGCGATCTTCGCCTTGAGTTTGCAGTCTTTGTATGGTTTCGGGGGTCCACGTCCCAAAGAGTTTTCAATGTGCACAAGAATGATGACATGGATTTTTCCCCTTACTTTTCCTTTATCCCAAAAAGCTTCATGGGACTATGACTTAGTTGGCAAGACCCTAAGGGGAATAGCCACTACGGATTTTAGGCTCTTTCGCATGCATATCATGGAGACGAGGAGCACTACTTATGGGGAAGAGGAATTATTATGGTTGAAATCATGGTGAACTAGGTATGTAAGAATGTATTTGTGGATCTGGGTCATTCTCTTACATGATTAGACCAGGAGAAGCGGGACCTTACTACACGAGAACATAGTATGGAGGATGGGGATCTCTGCGTTGTTGCAACAATATTTAACTAGGCCATAGTCGTCTACACTGAAATGAATGAGAATAAAAATAGGGGTGTGAGGTGTGTCCCGTATGGCTAAACCTATTTATATATGGTAGCTAAGTCGGGGGTAACTCGCCCTAGCCATGTGTTGGTATTATGCCACATCGACGACCGTTGGGTGTGCCTTGAATTTGGAGAGGAATGATATTGGTTCTTCGCACTTGGGGGCGTCATCATGATTAATATGTAATAGTGGTATGTAATATTAATGTTATTTTTAAATAAGGGATACAAGTGTATAATAACTATTTCTATCTTGTGTTATGCTTTATGGTTTTTTGATTTAAGGGTACCAATCTAGGTACTTGTTAACGACATGGTCTTGTTTCCTCGCGGGTCAGGATATCCTATCCAACTGCACGGTGTGGAAGTGAAAGGTCATGCGAATCACTCTGAAGTCAAAATCATTAGATAAGGTGTACATAATATCATCCCCAACTCGTCAAACCTGAACTAGCAAAGTGGATCAGACGGGATGGTGTGTAAAGACCATAAATTACAAAGGCAATATGAGGGATTACACATCTCCTCCACATCCATGCACCGAATGATTATTATAAAGATGAGAGACCATAGTACCATGTCTGTCTGAGAACGGGCACCATAAAACGTGATTACTATCATGTTCTCCAAGAGTCAACAGTACTGATACATTCTCTCCTCCTACAACTCTCTCCCACCTCCAAATCGCTCCCCCTCCCACTTCTTTGCAAGAGGTGCCCAGGAAAAAATCCACACACCTCAAGTTTTGATCTCATAAACCATGCAAGTACTCATGGATCCAACTCTGAAAGATTATCAAACACCTAGAAATGACCCTATAGTCTAGACGAGATGCTATGTCGAGTTGCCTATACAAAATGGAGAGTGTAGCTGCCCCCAGGTGTATCTCGCCACATGTCTAAGGTACCTCAAGAATTCGAGTGGCCAAACCTACATGTGATCCCCACTTATGTCCACAAATAAAGTGCATAGAATGAATCGATCAATCTTTTTGGCGCCGTTGCCGGGGAACCTCGGTAACTAGTTGAAAACCATCGAGTTGTTATTTAGCCTTTATTTCTTTGTTTGGTTTTTCTTTATTTTTTTATTTTCGGAGTTTTGATCATTTTCTGTTTTGTTATCCAACTTTGTGTGTCACGGGTTGTTGAGTTTGGGTCGTGTAGCACTTTTATATGGGAATAAGGGACTATTTGGAGATAATACCTCTTGATACAGAAATCGAGAGAACCCTTTGGAATCTATGAAGAGTTGTGAGGCATCAACCTCCACCAATGGCGGATCAACAATAACAACCTCAAGTTCCACAATGGCCTACAACTATGGGATCTTACTCAAGGCCAAATGTGGATAATGTTCAATTACCGATTCTTCACCCAACAGTATCGAACAACAATTGTGAGATAAATTCGAGCACAATTTTGATGCTTCAAAGTGCGGTTCCATTCAATGGGATGATGAGTGAAGATGCTCATGCACATATCAAGTCATTCTACGAGTTGACGGATGGAATCAAGGTGAACAGGGTTGTTCAAGAGGCGATTCGTCTGAGGTTATTCTCGTTTACTCAAAATGGATCAGCAAATAAATGGTTGAACAACCATCCCCATCATTCCATCATCTCGCGGGATGATCTATGCAACAAGTTCTTCGCAAGATACATTCCACCTTCTAAGACGGCTCTAATGAGAAGCGAGATTTCTATGTTATGTCAAGAGGAGGATGTGCCATTGTTTGAAGTGTGGGAAAGGTTTACATCTCTCCTACTCAGATGTCCACACCATGGCATCGGTTACAAGTGGAAAGCTTTTATAATGGTTTAACAAGGGAGTCACCCCACCTCATCGATGCGGCTAGTGGAGGTGCCATGAGAAACAAGTAAGTCTGTGAACTTCAAAGATTGATTGAAGAAATGGCCCTAAATAGCTATGATTGGGGGGCCGGAAGGAGAGATAAGAATGTGAAGAAGGAAATTTTATTGAAGATTGAAGAACCATCATCGTTAGTGGTTCATATACAAGAACTTTCCAATAAAATTGATAAAGTCGCGTCATCAATGAAAGGCAATGAGAAGCAGCTCATGAAATGTGATTGGTGTGGCGAATCGAGCCACACTATGGAGGAGTGTCAGTATATGATTGAGGCCTCAATACAATTTGATCAAGCCAACTTTGTTAGAGGGTAATCCCCAAGAAAC